TTTCTAATTTTAAATTGCAGATTCTGATTCTATGCCCCAAAATACATATATAACATTGTTATTCGAGGTTTTCATTCGCTATAAGTGAGAATAACAAGCATTTGTTTGCTGTACGATCACTTATTCAACCCCACTGTAAGTATGACCATACCAGAATTGCTGAAGGCTGCCGTTGATAGACCGTTGTGGAAGAGATTCATTATGGCTTCTGCATAAGGCTTCCCTACCCGCTATGATTACAAAAGTCAAGGGGATTATTATTATTATTATTATTATTATTATTTACCAAAATAGTACTAGTATCAGCGTATAGATAGCGATTGTCTTTCAAAATCTTTAAGGAGGTCTAAACTCGTTCGATGCTTAGATGAAGAGACAGGTTTTTGTCGAATAATTGTGCGAAATGTGGTGCGATTCATATTGGATGGGGTGGGGAATGGGGTAAATACTCTCAATTCGACGCTTGGGTTGTTACAGACAGTAGACTTGGGGTTATTGAGTGGAAGAGGGCTGTTAGGGGTGGCGCCGTTTCGCTTCGCCAAGGATTAGAATATTTGGCGCATATGTTAGAAAGACATGGCGAACACAAACATTTCTAAGTAAACACGTACACATGTCCACGAATGCAGACTCACGTCATAAACAATCAATGTTATCATTATCCAAGTATTTTCCCTGGTTTTGGGTAGTCTGATGTGAAAGAATGATTCCAATTTGGATTCGAAGAATTTTGCGATATGTTAAATTGATTGGATCTCCTAATCAGACGGAATTAAGCAGATGAAAATCTGTGGAACATGCGACATGATGTGTGGAAAAAATTCCCGTGACAGGTGTGGAGATAAGTATATAGATACGAACTGACGGAGATAGATAGATAGATAGATAGATAGATAGATAGATAGATAGATAGATAGATACTGAAAAGACAAAGAGATGGATAAATAGAACAGATTGCCGTATTAATTTTTTCTTTCTTTATTTTGGAATTGAATTGCATTAAAAGAAAGATGTTAGCAAAGAAAAAAAGTTACAAACTAACATTCTATATTCATCTATACCTAGACTCGTTCTTAAATATAAATACAGGCAAAATATTCAAATAGATCATTTTATTGTCAAAGAAAAATTTTTATTTAATAGTATTTCCAATTCAAGTGTATTTAGTAAGCAAAATGTAAAACTTCGTAATCTTACCGCAGGGTAGCCACCAGTGTGGTACCTTTCCGTTGGGTAATGACGATCTTCGAAGCGTAGCTTAGATATGGTACAAGGCCAAAAGTACAGAGTTCTCAGTGAGGATGGAACTCACGATTCAGTTGTAATTGTTCTAGTGAGACATACTTGCTAACCATTACAGCACGTCAAGGTGCTTCTGTTGGAGGGTAATGTTTAGTTAGCAATCTAGCAGAACATTATTATTATGTAGTGAGTTTAATCCTCACTTGAGGCTTTAATCCTGATTAAGTTAAGATTAATATCAACTTTGTCATATTCAGTACCATGCAAAAATCTTACGCCATTTTAAATAATTGCCATCTTATAATTGGATGTTGTTTACTGTGCTGTCTAAAGATGAAAATTTCGTCATATTGGAGTCATTTTCACACTTAATTCTCATTTTTATTATTAAAGATTCTGAATAAGGAGGGAAAATGCGAAGTGACACTCAAAAAAAAAAAAAAAAAAAAAACATGCAAACTTTTTTGGTTCTCTGACCATTTTTGTTTTCTTTTATCTGTTCCACTGCTAAAAGGCAAATATTTTTCCAGAATAAGACTGATATTTTTCTATATTTAGGGCAAATTCGGATACTAAATTCCTGCATTACTTATTACTTGGCGAAACAGACGTTTAATAGAAATTTATTATAAACGCTACATCGCAAAATATGACTGGTTGCTGAGATGGAAAACCGTCAAAAGGAAATCGGCCTTAAGGAATTTTGACGATGTATAGTCGTGTCAAGATATTTCAGCTTTGGCACGGACACATTTGGTAAAGCATAATCAAATATTTATGTTCCTTTAAACCGAAAAGGAAATGCTACCTAAAATCGTTTCCGTTCATTCGTCTCATCTAAACTTCAGATTAACAAATTCAGTTCGAGGAGAGCAAACAAAGAGGTCTCTCAGTTCATGTCAAAAACATCTTTTAATTTTCTTTAGACTTTTTGTATTATAGCGTAAACCGAGAAGAAACACAGAATAGTATTTATTAAATATCTGAATGCATCAAACACTCTTTTGTCGATTCATTCATTTTATTTTTATTATTTTTTATTTTTAAAATCACACTTTACACATTGACAAAACTCCTTACCATAACCATAATTCATGTAGCAAGTCGCTCACACACCTCAATAAAAAACAACAACAAAAATAATTTAACTTCCTTTCCACTGATACATACTGCAAATCTCAAGGAAGCAGAATTGTGAATGTAGTTCATTTTTAAGAGCTCACCAATGGTATTGTTAACAGTAATAGTAGCGCCATCCGTTTTCATATAAAGAAACATAGCCAGTACTATCGTCTGTTGAATTTTTTAAATCTTTCTCTTAAAACAATTTTTCAGAAAAAATTTTTTTCAAGGAGTTGATTATATGTCAGGGTCACGTTTTTTTTTGTTTTTTTTTTGCGCGCGCGAACGGTTCAGGAAATGTTACAACAATAATAATATTTATTATTATTATTATTATTATTATTATTATTATTATTATTATTACAAAAGATAATAAAGACGCTGTCCTCCCCTTCATAGAATGAGTAGAGTCACTTACTTCTCGTATTTTTTTAATATATTATTTCATTATTATATACATGGCCCCAAAGAAAGTTAGTTATAGCTGAAGAAAGTTATGAGAGGCACAGTTGAAATGAAAAAAGTAAATGATAGCGAAACATGAAAATGAAATGCATGTCTTTTATCCAGCGGTGACTTTTTCGGGGCTGTAATCAAGCATATGCATATAATGAAGAACAAAGATGTTATAAAAGCAGCAGTTGCTGCACAAGGAGTGAAAGTGTTAAACAAAAATCATGGGCCCTTGAAGAAGTGGAAAAATGGTTACTGATTTGGATTAACGAAAAAAACAATCAGATGGTGATAACATTACCAAGAAAGTAATTTGTGAAAAGTGAGGTTTCGGAACGATTTCTTAGAACGAATTAAGTTCGAGAAGGGACGTTTCACTGAATTTATATTAAGTTACTGTCTCACGATCAACAGGGTTTGCCAAGACAATCCTGCAAGGCACAGTGTGAAGGACAGGCGGTCAGAGAAAGAAACGGGCGTATATCCCAGAATGGAGAAGCATGAATTTACGAGATTCGTAGGGTCACTTACGAGAGGGTATTCGTTGGTGAACATTTGGCTGTCATCCGCTTCTAGTCTGTGGTTCCTTTTTATGGAATTCGTTCGTTGATCTTAGAGAAGGTTCCAGGACCTTGTGACAAAGAGAAGTGTTTGTGCCTGACCTAGATACCGGTGCCTGTCTCTTTGACTTTCGATGGCTTACACGAGACAACTGTTTTCCCCAATCCAAAAAGGGGCTTCCTTTCTCACCCTTTGTTTGATGTACTGTGCAACGTCAACATCTTGATTATGTCATTATTTTATTTCAATGTCGCGTGGTTTTGATTTTCATCTAGAGGGAGACAACTGTTTTCACCAATCCAAATGGAGAAGCATGAATTTGCGAGATGCCCTTAGTCAGGGTTTGGCAACCTACGGCACGCGGGCCACACGTGGCACGCCAAGCAATTTCCAATGGCACGCAGCCGCAAATGACATCATGAAGTCAGAACCAATAACTACTACAACGCAAAGAAGATATTTAGCTGTTTCAATTTTAATATATACTAAAGTATATATAGTATATATTATTATATAAACTATATTGTAAAACAGTTATATTGACCATGACTTGTATATAAATACGTATGTTGTCGTTACACTGAATGGTTTTAAAGTCAGTACCTAGTTATCAAAAGGTTGCCGACCCCTTCCCTAAGTCAGAGTATTAAAACAGAAATTGTTAGAAGCAGCTGCTTGCGAAGTTATCTTTGGTGACTCAACAGTTAACCCGACAATAGCACTATGATGATGAGTTGCCGGTGTCAGCATTGCTGAGAAGTTTCAATGTACCATTCATGTGGTCAACACCCCGAAAGATTAAGTCTATGAGGTAGTAGAGGTTGATTGTGTCTGCTATCAAAACAGTGAATAAAAGCTGCAAGGAACTCCGAGACAAATTAGTAAAGGAAAAACGAGAAGAAAAGAGTAACTATAAGAAGACAGAACGTATGGCTGTTAGCAAAAGGGACAGTTCAAGATGCGATTTACAAACTGGAGACGTCAGAATCAAGCAAGTACATAAATTTAATTATCTGGCAAGTGTTATAATAGACGATGTGACAGCGAAATCCAAAGGTGAATTGATTGGAATAGAGAAAGATGTCTTACTAAAGCTAAACAACGGACAAAGATTTCACAGAAACAAAGAAAAGATTGTTCAAAAGCTATGTAATATCAATTCTCCTATATGGAAGAGAGTGTTGGACAATATTCCCGCAGATAAAGAGGGGGCTTCAGGTGTAGTTCTACAGAAGGATGCTGAGAATACCATGGACGGAAAATTTGAGCAAAGAGGAAATTTTAAGAAAAATGGAAACAAACAAGAACAGAATCAGAAATAGACAGTTGACATTTCTATTACACATAATGAGGAATGAATACTACGGCTTTCAACCCAGATTTATGAAGAGGACAGCGAATCTGCGATCACATCCGGTTATAAAATTGATCGTGGTGGTGATGATGATGATGATGATGATGATGATGATGATGATGATATCATTATTTCCACAATGACGACCGCAGTCATGATAGATCACACCTAACACAGTTCTCTTCACTGACAAATTCAATCATCGGAAATCACGATCAGCTCAAAATATTGCCGCAAAGTTTCCCAATTCTTTCTTTTCATTTTAGGCTTACGGCCAAATCATGTTGAAACATGGGTTCCCGTACGATCACCGAAGTTAAGCAACGTCGAGCTTAGCCAGTACCTAGATGGGTGACCGTTTGGGAATACCAGGTATTGTGTACTTGGATGTGCGGGTGTTGTAATGGATAATGGCTAGATATTGTTAATCAGAGGGCCGGGTTCCAATTCTAGTTGTTTTCGTTATATTCCCTCACACGCCAATACGCTTGGGAAAGGTATGAATCCACCTCTTCTCCCACAGCTATGGGTTAATGAATAAAACGTATATCACTAAACCATTATTATCTCCAAAAAATATTTACTGGCTTTAAATAACCTGCAACGGGTTGATAAGCCGTAGAAACAAATCAATCTATTCTTTTCCGTCTACAATATGGTTATTTTTTAAATAGTTTCACTGTTGCCCTGCGAAAGGCAATCAAATCTACTACTGATGAATCAATCAAAATGTTTAAAATTCACTGATGTTGATCCTGGATTAACGATTTAATATATCTACGTAATAAATATATATTTAATGGCTTTAAAATATATTTCCCTTGCGTCTGTAACCGTGAGAAATTGTGGGGTAAGCTTTCGTTTACGTCTTTGCAGACTTAAATTTAACTGAATATTGATGTGACGTAAACTCCACTACTAATCTAAAATTATCTGCCTTACTCTGGGAAAGGGAAGATTTTAAGGAGAAAAAATCAACTGTAAGAAAGAGAAGAAAACTTTATCCAAGTTTGAAGGAAGGCAATCTTTTCTCGTCGTTTAACTTAGGTATCCTTTGCACTCGGTTTGAAACAAAATCTAGCACATATCAATCACCCGCTTCAATTATCTTCAACTTTACATATATCGTAAATATTTTAGTATCGAGTGTGTTATAAGATATATCATTTTTATGCTTGTTGATATATTAAATAGAAGTGGGGGATTTTCAGTGGCCAGGAATTAAGAGAAGCATTACTGACAAAATAGAATTAATATATGTTTAATGTAAATGCGTTGCTAAGCGTATTTTATAGATAAATGCATTGAAAATCTGACAGAAAGGGATTGTCAGTGGTCGGGAATTAAGAGGAGCATTAATGATGAAAAGATAATATCATTACAACAGATTCAGAGCCTTCTCATTTACTGGAGGAACCACTCCCCCTTGATTGACCGTGTCTTCAGCCGTAACCACCACGTTTGAAGAGCAATTGATAAGGTTATTTGACCTAAAGGGGAAGATTTTTAATTCAGAATTGTCTTTCTCACTCAAGGTTATAGAAACCAGATTGTCCTGCTATTTAACCATACCGCGGCGGGGGTGGGGAGATGGATCCATACTTTTCCCAAATTTATTTGCACATAAGTGAATGTAATGAACTCGAATGAAATTCAAACTCGGCTCTCTAATTTCTTAATCCGAGCTGCTATCCATTACTCCACCGTGCCTTCATTTACTAATGAAATAAGGTTAATATATACATTACATAAATGCACTGCTAATCATTCCACTACATAAATGCATAGAAAACCAGGCAGGAATTGTCATTGGTCAGAAATTAATGAATTACTGACAGAATTATAAGACAAAATATTATATGTATAATAAAAATGTGTTGCCGTTGATTGTATGAGTATAAAATATATTGATCTTCAAGAAGATGCAACTGCTCAGGAAATAGTGCAAGTATTAATGACAGAATAAGCATGTTATATTTGATTAAACATTTCACCCTAAGCAAGGTAATAAAACTACTAAGACGCAAGGGGTTACTGAGTATGAAAGAATATGAGAAAAAGAAAAACATTATTAAGGAGAGAAAAAAAACACGAATTATGAAAACAGAAGATAACGACTGACTTACATTTTGAAGATCAAAGATGACTGGAAAGCAAGAAGCAAGAAGGGAGTTCCACAAGCGCGAAGTGTGAGAGAAGAAACAGTTAGCATAGAACTTACATTTATATGTGTAATATAAATGTGTTGCTAATTGTTTTGGTATTTCCTTACTAAACTCTATTAGCAATCTCTTTTTTCCTTTATCGCTCCCCCTCTTCCCAGGACTGCAGCATATTAGATATAATAGCTAACGGTATAAAAAAAAGGTACTTTCTCTCCATCCATCTGCGAACATCTTTATCTTCGGTGACTATAATGCTCACCATGACACATGTATAAAACATTCTAAAGGGACTGATGTTGCCAGTATGACAGACATTAAATTTTTCCATTTCCCAATCCCTTACTCAAATCGTGTATTTTCCTACTCGTTTCCCTAACAAAACCGAGCAACAGTCCTCTCTACTTGAGTTATCTCTTTTCTCCACTTCTTGTTCTTGCCGAGCATCACAATACTGCCCTCTTGGTAACTAGGACCACTCTGTGGTAGCTTTTAATAATTCGTTCCAATCATCTGTTAAACAAGAAACCCCTATCCATATCCACTTACCCACCACCTAAGGTTCCCTCTGTATACCTTTTATATAAATACTTTCATGGTAATTGTTCGGATGAGATTTTTCGCTATGGCACCTAGACTTATTGAATTTAAGCGCAGTACTAGACTGGCATCAAGATCTCATCAATTGACAGCTGAGATGTGCCCGTAAGTTCTATGCTAACAGTTTCTTTTCTCGTACTTCTCGCTTGTGGAACTTCCTTCCTTTAATCTGCAATAATTTAAATGCAATGTCAATCGCTATCTACTACCCTCCTGTTTATTATCTTTTCCCCTTGCTCATTAATCTTTCTGTCCCTAATTCTTTCATATTTTGTAACCCCTCGTGTCTTAATGGCTTTACTTGCCTTGTTTGGGGTGATACCGATTAAAAAAACAAAAACATAGAAATGCATTTAAAAAATCAGGAAGAAAACGATTGTAATTGATCAGGAATTAAGGGAGGTATTACTAATAGAATAGAATTTTATATATATATATGTATGTGTGTGTGTATATATATATATATATATATATAATGCAAATGCAGTGTTAACGATTTTTCTATGGAAATACATTGAAAATCAGGAAGAAAGGGATTGTAATTGGTCAGTAATTAAGAAAAGGGTCCTTTTTCTTCTTTTATATGCTGTGTCTTTTTATGATGAAAAAAATATCCTTGCAAATAATTTTACTATAGCAATTATTGCAATAATTTTACTATAAAAATCCTTGCAAAAGATTTTACTGCAGAAATACATTAGAAGCCAGAAAAGTGCTGTCAGTTGTCAGAAATTAGTGCAAGATCTAGTAATAAATAATTTCATCAATAATTTTTGTTTGTACTTATAACTGAGGACCTTAAACACGTTTTTTTTCATTATTCCACACATTTAATCGTATCTTTAAAACGAATTCTTGCTTTATAAATAAAATAATAATTCTCGAAAATCAATTTGAACGCAATTCCCTTTAAAATCTCTTGTATCTAATTTTGCAATTTTCAACCAACATGGAATTCTGTTACCATTAAATAGACGAGCACGTTCTTTTCTTTTCTCTATGTGTGATAGATAACAGGAAAAAAATTGAAAACAGGCCCCTGACGAGATAACATAATCATCTACAGATGGCGCCATCTGTCGGTAAGCATACAATTTGTCAGTGAATTATAATGCGCATGCTCCAGTAAGAGAATCGTTTCACAGGATGAGGCATAGCAAGTGACGTTATAAACTCAATACACCTGTCATGTTTGGGTTTGTTGGCGCTGGGCGGACAGGTGAATGGGGTAGAATGCCTTAAGAAAGCAGCAGAAGAGAGGTGAAGGTGTGTAACTCTAAAACTGCATATTTATGGAATGCATCTGTAAACTTAAAAGCTGTTAGTTTGCAGCTGTTGGCTTTATATATATCAAAACATTTTTGCTCTTGGCGTTTTAAATGACTACATGACTTCCATGCCTTCCTCTGGATGCGTCAGTAACAAGCTTTATTTTAGTAAGAAAAAGAAAAGAAGAGACGATTTTAAAATTCCATTTTTTTCTGCTAAACTTCACCGCAGACCTCAAGTGGAAGTCATATATACGACCCACCGCTAAAGACGCTGGGAAAATGATTGGCTCCTTATAACGCTTCAGAAAGTACCTGATTCCTCCCTGCTATGCTCTATCTTTACAAGAGTTGGATCAGATCAAAAATAGGGTATTGCTGATATATCTGGATTGGTGTTGCCCAGCCTTCTCTTTTCAGCCTCGATGGAGTTCAAAAAGCGTTTACACAACTAAATCTTCTCCCACAGGCGCAACGTCATAAGCCTCTCGCTCGTCTATGGCAAATGTGAAAGCGAGCAAAATTCCCTAGTTCCAACAGTTCAGACATTTCCAGATAAGACTCACCATAGGCAAGAAATCGGAAGAGATTTCCATGTGCGAGAAATACGAGAGAACAATCAGCATAGAACTTACGTTTATATGTTTATATATGTAATATAAATGCGTTGCTAATAATTTTACTATAGAAATGCATCAAAAAATCAGGAAGAAAGGGACTATCATCGATCAGGAATTAAGTGGGGCATAACTTATAGAATAGAATTATATATATATATATATATATATATATATATATATATATATATATATATATATATATATATATATTATTTTTTTAAAATATGATTCCTTCGCTACATAAGGGCTCTCATATTTCAAAAACAAGAGCTGAAAACTTCAATATAATTATTAGAATTAAATTGAATTTAAAGTATCAAGCTCTTTCATCTTCAAGCGAAATTTTTGGAATAACTAATCTTGAAATTTTTTGTGCCTTTAATTTCAAGATTAGTTATTCCAAAAATAATTAATTATTTAATTTTAAGATTAGTTGTTCCAAAAATTATTTAATTGCAAGATTACTTATTCCAAAAAATTTTGTGTTTTAAATTTCAAGATTAGTTATAGAATAGACTCCCGAGAGAATGCTCCCTAGATCAATACAATCCTAACCTCTTTAAGTCTAGAATTAATCGTATGTATTCTCATAATTTGCACTTATTTCCCGCTTCACTCTCCTACGCCCATACTATGCCCATTAGCAACCCTCTACCTCGAGTGGATCTTAGGCCTTGTACTGAGTGAACATTTGGTAAAAATATTATTTTTATTGACGTTGGCTTAATATTGAGAGATTTGTCATTCTTAAATTGGGATTCTGTTCGCATGAAAAGAAAAGTTGGCGTGCAATGGCAAAGGTCAATGTTTAGCGTGCTAGTTTCACAAGCCATTACTTCTGTAGCGAGTTCGATCCTCACTGTGGGCCCCTCACTTACCGGCTTATGCCGATTTAAGCAACTTTAGCAAATATATGACTCTCGCTGTAGAGCATCGATTAACAAGCTAGTTTTGGAGATCATTACTACTGTAGTGTGTTCAATCCTCTTTAGGAACTCAGTAATTATAACACTATGCCAGTTTTAGCAAACATCTAGTGCGCCTCGGTGTGGAGCAATAATTAATTCGTCTAGTAGATTCTTATTAGAGTAATGAGTAGATTTGTTCTACCGGGCGCTCCATATTGTTGACTTTGTGCTAGTGTAAACGAAGGTAAGCAAATAGTCGATATATATGTGTGTATGTATGTGTGTGTGTGTGTGTGTGTGTGTGTGTGTGTGTGTGTGTGTGTGTGTGTGTGTGTGTGTGTGTGTGTGCGAATGCGCACGCGCGACTCAATTTAAAATAAGGTCGGATTACAGGAGGTCGTATTACAAGATTTGTAACATAGATTACCAAAAGCATAAAAATACTTTTTTTCAAGGTTAAGAGAATATACTCTTCCATGTATCGCGTCCTTACAGAACATAGACGATCATGGCTCTCCACAATTTCCTATCCCTAGACTGACTCTTAGCAGTGTTTCTCGTTTTACCAAGCCTCCCGACCCATTTTCACCAACCATTCACACAAGCTCGTCAGGTAGGTGGAAAAATTTTCGTTAGAAATAAGAAAAGAATGCTGGACAATCTCCCTCCAGATTAAAAGAAAACTAGAGGTAACGGAAATGTGGTTCTACAGAAGGATACTGTGAATTCCATGGCCGGAGCGATTATGCAACGAGGAATTCCTAAAGAAAATGAGAACAAAAAGGACACTTAGAATCAGAAAGAGATTCTAGAATTTCTTGGATACAATTTCTTGGATACTCTGAATCAAAAAGTGACATGTGGGATTTCTTGGGAACATAATAAGGAAGAAAGGTGTGGAAAACTTAACCCTCACGGGGCGCATTGGGAGCCAGAGAGAAAACTGAAGGCAGCCGGTCACCTACCAGACTCCAATATACATACGATAAATATATAAAACGATTTGGATATTTTGATACTTTGACATGTTTCGCCGACATCATCAGAAAAATAATTTCACAATAACTAAACCTACGTTAACGAAACCAAAAATGATTTATGTTAAGCATTTGATTTTTACTTTAACCTTACCTTTATAGAAATTAGGATTTAACTAATTTCAATACAGTTTTTTACTTATGACAGTTTACTTATTATTTTCAAGTTCTACGTATACCACTTTATTTTAGTACTAATTTAGTAAAAACGTGGAAAATTTGAAATAGCCCCGTCATATATGAATCATTGGGGATTTATATAATATGGCACATTCAATGGATCTTTGTCTGAGTAAATTACATTCACTTTTCATTAAAACAGCATTTTACAGGCCAAAATTGTGCCCATGAAAGTGTCGGTGGCACTTGATAATCTTTCTCTTTTTTTCTTATTCTTTCACACTTAGTAACACCTTGTGTCTTAGTAGCTTTACTGTCATGCAAAGGGTCAAGTCATTTCATACATATATATATATATATATATATATATATATATATATATATATATATATATATAAGGGAAGAGTTTATGATTGTTCCGACAAGAGAACAATGTATATTGTCTATTTTAAAGAGAGAAAAAGCCGCAAAATGTTTTTTATATGTGTAGTTTTTATAATGTGAATTTTTTTATATAATGTGAATATTTTGTATATATATATATATATATATATATATATATATATATATATATATATATATATATATATATATACAAAAAATTAAGGTATCTATATTTATTGGTTAAAATACACAAGGATTTTACAATGGCTTGGTATATTATATAGCCACTGTGAAATCAGCAGATAGCGAAGAAAAAATATATGTAGGAGTAACTGAAGGACGCTGGAAACAAAGAAACTACGCACACAAAACATCCTTTACAAATACTAAATACGCGAACAGCACAATGCTTTCTAAACATATCTGGGATATTAAAAACAAAAACCAAATCACACCAAAGATATAATGGAAAATAAGGAAAATAGCATCAGCCTACAACAATCAATCCAAAAACTGTAAGACTCTACCTGGAGGAAAAATGGCAATAATTACCTTCCCAGACAAAAAAAAGAAGCTAAATAAATGATCAGAACTAATCTCAAAATGCAGATACAAAAACAATTTTTTTCTACTTTACTCAAAAATCGAAAATTGAGTAACATCTGAACGTCGGCACCCCTCAGTTACAAGTCTTCCTCGTCGCAAACGCCGTCACTACAGCGACTCCGCAAGCAAGCAACCCCGACTCTGAAAGCAAGCGACTACGACTCTGCAAGCAACTTTCGTAGAACACCGGCCAACCAGCAACACCAACCACGATACCTCGACAACTCGCCGCCGTCATCTCGCCATACCCGTCTCGTTATAGACCTTCCTTTTCTAGTAGTCACCAAGGCCCCGTTTTTTACCAGCTACGCCAATCCCTCGTTAGGTTGACGATCAACGAATCGACCCACCACCGCAACCAACACGAGCGAACAACCGTATCCTGTCACCTGTCATGAAAAAATCGGTCAATTTCCAGCGCTACCCTTACATCCTGACGATCGATAACAGAAATTATTAAACAAATAGACGCTGTTCAAAAACTTAATCATACTTATTCCTTTTCTTTCGTAAATCAAATGCTTATTATAACATATTTTCAACTAAATTTACTGTTGAAAACCAATATTAACCATGTGTAAATGATACCAGAAAAAACAAAATCAATTTTCAACTGAGTATTCACTCATTAATTTTCAAAAAGGAGATCTGGAAACTTTTGCATTCTCCTAATAATTCCGTATATTCATTTGTATAAACATTTTTTTTATCATAATGCAGTGCCTACTGAGGATTGAATTCACTACATTTGCGAATTGGTCTTTGAGATAAACTTGTTACCCATCACGCTATGTCGGAGCCCAAAGAATTTTTGTTGTGTTGTGGTCGTGATTATTTTGTGTTTAATGGCATATTATGTATCCACAAAAATGTTTCAGTGCCTTTTTCCCTCTAGGTCGGGTTTTGGAGCTGAGTCCCCAAATGTATGCGATCCTATGACAAAAACAATCGTCTTCCCACCAAACTTATTTGAGCACTCTCTAGCCCTACACACTTTTGTACACATTAGATTTTTTAGCCTTTTTGAACGACGACTAGCTTGATTATTTAGACTAAATGACAACCCCCCCACAAAAAAAACGCCCGTCTGTATGTTTTCTTTAATTTTTAATCTTTATTTTATTTTATTTTTTTGAGATTTTATTATTTGATCAACCGCTGAAGACCAGGGTGTGGCGCCTTTCGCCGTGAGACCTAAACTAGAAGCAGTTTCAGAAATGTGGGTGCATGGGTACAACTCCAAACAAACTATGTCGATTTTGGTCACACCACCATAACACTCTTCCAAAGATTAACTTACCACTTTTCTGAGCAAAGTGTAACAATATCATATCTTAACATAGATAAGATTCCTATCAATAAAATATTCTTAATACGAACATTTCATACACCATTAACTACGAACAGAGAATACAAAATCTTAAAGTTCTTGTAATAAAAATGTCAATAATAATTTATTCTTGGAAAGGGAGTTTTAAATATTTTCAATAGTTAATTATATTTTTTAGAAATCCAACGATAACTTTTATAATTCATGTTAGACTAAAGACACCGACAATTCAAGCAATGGCTTTCTTTGAGTTTTCAAATGGTGTCTTCAGAACGAACTGCATTGATTGATTTGATTTTTATGGCTTATCAATCTCTAGCAGGTTATTTAAAGAAAATATTTTTAGATTGTGAGATTTTTTGAAGATAATAATCATTTACTGATACAAGTCCCACTAATTAACCGATAGTTGGGACGAGAAACAGCTGGATTCATACATTTCCCAAGAATATTTGCGCGTAAATCTATACAATGAAATCGACTGGAATTGGAACTCAGCTCTCCAATTTCAAGCCGTTATCTGTTATACCACCTGCACATTCAAGCTTATAATATCTGGCTTTCCCAAGCGGTCACCCATCTAGGTACTAACCAGGCTTGACATTGCTTAACTTCGGTGACCGTATGAAAACCGGTGCTTCGTTAAAAGCAATGACGTCTTCTGGTGTAATATTTTCAAAACATTCTCTAACAGAAGATTATATTTTGTTTCTGGGGATGACAATACAACGGTATATGGGTGAATCTCCAAAACTCTAGATGATAAGAGCTTGGTAGCTGATCTCTCCTCTGATCTAACTTTAACAGCTCAGTGAAGAAAAACTGACAGATTACATACAATACCACGAAAACTAAACTAGTAACAATCCATCATCAACAAGCGGGCCCTGGAATTTTCACCTGTCGAAATGAACTGCTGTTCTCTCAGGGAGGCCCCGTGACTTGAGCACCTATTGGGACTTAAACTCAGACCTCAAATGAAACTCGCAGATACGTTCCATCGCTAAAGATGCTGGAAAAATGGTCGGTTCCCTGTACCGATCCAGTAAGCACCTGACTCTTCCTTCTTTCCTCTAACGTTAAAATAGCCAGATCAGGCTGAAAGTGTAGTACTGATGCCATATATAGGCAGCAGCTGACCAGCTTTCACTTACCAGTTCCGACAGATTTCAAAAACGTCCTTGTGGGTGATGCATTATTTCCCACCCCACAACCCTTCTTCACAGACGAAACGTCACAAGCCTGATTCTGTTCTATCGCTATTTCCATGGAAAATGTTCAGGAAAACTATTCCTTAGTTCCACCGTACGAGTACGACCCACAATGCCACACCCACTGTAGCGAACCACCCACGTACCCACATTCGTATTCCATTGGTAAGATGTAAGTCCCACTTTCTCCGCTTCTTCTCCCGAACCGCTGTTTTGTGGAACTGTCTCCCAAGAGGTTTAACCGTTATCTTCCCCACATATCCCCATAAACTGTGCCTCTTATTCTGTAACCCTCTACCACGAGTGGCTCCTGGGCCTTGAACAAGGTGAACATCATTGTAATAAAATGACAAGATAATGATCGAAATTGCTGGAACTGGCGAAAACATTTCAGCGTTGTCTTGAACCAACTGAATGTTGGTTTATGTTAAAACAAGCGAAACGTCATTAAAATGCTGTAACCTAGAAAGGGTTACTGAATGATGAATAATCAAAATGGAGGTTGGAAATGAAATGGCAATGTTTATAACATCAACAAAATACAATACTCGCCAGCGGCGTGAAGTAGGTAAACCACTGTTAGTGGTGGACTACTTTGACAGCATATTAACCCCACTTACAATAGTCTCCAACGTATTAATGACGACTGGGACATACCCAATAGTGTTCATATGTAAGGTATATTATGTAAGGTATATGACAAAAAATTAACTTTTAAAGCTTAAACTTATATATATATATATATATATATATATATATATATATATATATATATATATATAAAGAAATATACTCTTAAGGTGTGCTATATTTATGGGATAAATTGCTCAATAGCAGAGATAGAGCGTGTGTAAATATAAAAGTGAACTTTTCTATATATATATATATATATATATATACACACACACACAAATATATATATATATATATATATATATATATATATATATATATATATAGAATATTTCAGCAATAATTAGCATAGTTAAAAAGTAAATTTTTTGTTATATACCGTACCAATGAACACTATTGGCTATGTCCCAATCCTCATAAACCATCCATATATATATATATATATATATATATATATATATATATATATATATATATATATATATATATATATGCATTTGTGTGTGTGTGCGGAGTGTGTTTGCGATACGTATATAAGTTCTCATAGACATTCTTAGAATTCTCTCAAGCAAACTGTTTAAATAAACAAGAAGCTAACTTTACGAATTGGATTAAATCGGCCATATTATTTCGGCAACAAATATGTCTGACTGAAAACAGTTTTCTTTGAGATGTTCCGACATCGTTTTGTTTCTGGACGCCTGTCCAAAAGCCGACATTGAAGCTGGTTGCTGACAATTATAGAATATATCGCATTTCAAAACCAGATTAAAGCAAAAATATTATTCATCCATCTATGCACAAAAGTCTAGGCACCTTCATAAAAAGTGATACCAGTTTTATAATGGGTTGTTCGAAATGTTCCTGTCGATTTTTAAGGGAAATTAAAACACAAAACATCACATGAAATATTTATTAAAGTAAATATTAACCATTTTGTTTGCACAAGCTTTCTTCATTTTTCCTTCAGCTTCCATCTTCACAGAATGTCGATGGTTTCTCGGCAAAGAACTCATTAAGATGTTGTTGTTTTTTTATGTCATCCAAAGAATTAATTTTTTTACCACTGAGTTTATGTTGCAAGGACCTAAATAAATGAAAATCCGAAGGAGCAATGTCTGGTGAATATGGCGGGTGTGGTAGCTGTAATTTTAAATAGGGTGAACAAAAAGAGGGGAGATAGGACTTACTTTCGTCACAGTATAGAAAAATTATCGATGACTGACGCGTTGTCATGGTAACTTGTATCTATGTCATTGATCGAGACATGGCCTTTTTCATTAAAGGATCTAATCACTGACTTTTTTTTTTATTATTTGCTGACTTTCATGACAGTCCTTCCACTAACTGCCCCTGTCTGTTTTGGGCGAGCCGTTTTTATCCCTCTGGGTGGGCTCCGATTCACTGAATTTTGCGACGGAATGTACTCAGTAACCCGAGCACCGACCCTTTTTCAGGTCATTCGGACTTCAACTGCGCAGACGTCGTAGGAAACATATCACGTGACTTGTCCTATCCAATCAGGTTCCAGAAACCACTTATTTAATTTGGAGCCATGTTTGTTCAGAATTGTAAAAAGTTTTTCGAATCTATTGAATTTAGCAAGATTTATTCGTAGGCGTCTCTTACTTCTTTGTGTTTCACTATTGGCCGTAAAATATAGGAGTTTATATTCTATTCTACAAAAAGACGCTCAAAATTCCCATGCCCGTTGAAGCAAGAAAAACAATATTTTTAATCAAAATTTCGAAAGTTTAAAAAGGGATTAAAAATATAATTTAATAATCAAAAAATCCTTTGATCTTTCCTTTTAATAATGACATAAAGTTTTGGACTATAAAACTGTCTATTCATTTTTTAGCAAACCTTTGGAGGTACCGACATAAAACTAATAGTTTATCCATTATAGATTTTGCAATTAAAATTTATTGGGTGGGTACATAATTATCGGGCGTTTTTGTAGACAAGTTATTTGTTAATAAAAATTGCTGTGTTGTTTACTTTTTCTTGATAAAAATATTATTTTATATCCAGTTTAAAAATGCGTGTCGATAATCTTACTCATTTAAAAATGTTATTATTGAATTGTTATGTTTCTTTTTTCATAATAAATATTGCTTAAAAATGCTTGATAATTATGTACCAACCTAATATATATGTTCGTGATTATATTTTAACCAAATAAATAATTAAACTAACTCTAACCAAATAACTAACCAATGAAATTTTAACCAGATAACCAACGCTATATTTGCAGATTATAATGACATCCATAGATCAAAATATTCTGCAATTAGCTTAGATAATATTCTGTTTAAACTTGTTGCAGAATTTGTGCTAATTTGGATGTATCAAAAGGTGAGATTGTGTGAAGGCTTAAAAATGTGCGTGTACGTTAAACATTCATCCACAACAAATAAAATAAACAAACATTTGAAGGCAATTCAATTAGAAGAAATCAAGGAGAAACAACGTAGTTATAGATTTCAACAAATAACATGAATTTATATACATTTGACATACACAGAGTGAATTTATGATTGCTTGTTGAATGTGGCAAATGAGATAAAATTGTAAGGAATCACCATGCAGAGATTTGGTGTATGAAAGCTTGTAGTTTGAGTTTGTCTATGAAATTAAAACAGTTTGATTTCTGCAAGGTGAAATGTCACTTGTGTGAGTTCAAACATTAGTGTGTATTTGTGTGACAATTGTAAATATTGTTTAAAGTCATAAGGAGTTATGTACCTTTGACTGATATGATATAAATTGATTAAATATACAATTACTACTTTGTAGTGATAATGTCACTTTTTCTAGTGAATTGTAAGTTGGGTTAATTCGCGCGACAAGACTGCGTGAGTTGTGTTGAATTGCTGAGAGATAATGATGGTGGTTGAGTCAGTGTGCTGGCGCGCGTGGAGTTTGTTGGCATCTCTCAAAGACTCAGTTCATGACTGCTTGAATCAAGTCAAGCGATCCTAGTTATTGACTTTTGGGATTTCAAACCGGTTCCAGATAGGTGAGCGGGAAAAAAGGATTTATCTCAACTTGCTACATTTTTTGTGTGCTTTTAACCAATGGGAAGTCAAGTTTGGAAAAGTTAAGTAATGATTGGTTAAAGTTGATTTGGTGGAAGAGTGCATTTTTCCGCAGGGGTGACTGGCTAATATGGAGGATTCCATTAAGCTGTTCTTCGTCAAGTTGCTGCACTTCGCCGGGTTTGTACGTAATACTCGCGATCACTACTATGACTTTTGGAAAGAAAACATAATATTACTATGTGAAGGACCGGTGTGTTTGTTTGCGGGTTGTTGTATTAGAAACACGAGTGTAACTCCTGGTAGAATATTAAAAGATCCAACTACAAGAAAATGACCGGACTTAAATTAAGTCCAACTGAAGATAAAGAAGACAAACAAGACCGATATATATATATATATATATATATATATATATATATATATATATATAAACGAATATATGTATTAAACAACACAATTTTACAATGGACATAGACAATGACAATCGTGTGTGTGTGTGTGAACATTTGTGTCTGTTCTTTGGTGAATGTTCGTACGTACGTGTATGTGTGCATAATGTTCACGGCGTCTTCCACAAATGGGAAGACGTTATCTTTTTGCGAGAGCTTACATTGTAGTCACTGAAATGAAAAAATGAAAAAGAGAAAACGAGGCGAAAAGTCGTCCAGTATTTATGGTATAGGGAGAATGACCCCTAGTGACAATTTGGGAATTAAGGAGGAGGTAACTCCGACAACTATTTATACGCAACGGAAAAC